GTTGAAGACCATTATTATTGGCCAAGTTTTAAGCGAGATGTACACAAAGTTGTCTCTCGATGTCGGACTTGTCAACTATCAAAGGTTAGGAAGAAAAATACAAGTTTGTACATGTCATTACATGTTCCTCATGAAGCATGGCAAGACTTAAGTATGGATTTTGTCGTAGGGTTGCCAAGAACCCTTCGAGGTCATGATTCTATCTTTGTGGTGGTGGATTGAAATTCGAAAATGACTCATTGTGTTCCTAGTTCAAAGACATATGATGTTATCCATGTTGCTAAACTTTTCTTTAAAGTTGTTCGTCTTCATGGGCTACCTAAAAAAAGTCTTGCATGATGTTCGTCTTCATGGAGAGATGTTACCCATTCAAGTTCAACTCAATAGTGTCAGCATTCACAAAAAGTCTTGCTAAGAAAGAATTATGCAAGGCAATTGGTGGAAGGCTAGTATTTTGTGAAAAATATGCTCTCAAATTCTCCTGGGATTTCAAAGGAAAAGGAGGGAGACAAAGTGGAAGACTATAGTTAACAAAATACAAGAAAGGCTTTGAAACCAACAAACGAAATAACTCAGATAACAATCCCTCACCAACTTCCGAACTACACTCCCCATGGTTAGGACTATAAGATGGCACAAGCACAAGCACAAGCAGGCATTTAGTTGATGCACTAGAACTTGACAATGGAGACTGATCAGAAGAACTTACCTGATGAGACATTCCAGCCAAGTTGAAATCCATCACTTCGAAAGCCATTTCCTTTAGAAATTTCCCACAACAGTTTGCAGCATATAATGCTTCAACACATCCCTAAGGCACTTCAACACAGTCTATGTGCATGGAAACATTATGATCTTCTTGACCCTTCAATGCTTTCATAAATGGTTTTAAAATGCGGCAATTAAGGAGCATAGTGGCCGTTATGTAACAGGAACAGAGATCACCGATATTGTTACGCCCCATTATATCGACCATAATATTTTTCACATTTGTAACGATCGTTAAAACCCCATAATAGTGAATATGCCTACCTAAAAACCATTTTTAAGCCCTATTTCAAGCATAAAAGATAAAAAATACAAGAACAAACTATGAATTGAATCTAAACATATATGTATAAAGAGATCTAGATACAAAGAAAAAGAATCTTCTTGTAGAGGGAGAAATCTGAAGCATGGTTGCTAAACAATATAAGTAATATCCAAGCTACACTCATCTGCAGTATAGCTTAACGGTTGGCACAAATGCCCTCTTCGGCTTTACATTTGACATCTTGGCCACACCCGCTCTCCTATCATAGTTATCCTATTGAGTATCTGGTTTTTGAAGTGTGAATTAGAACTAGCCAACTACGGCTTTGGATTCCCTAAATTTTATAACATGAAATGCTGAAAAGGGAGAACAAGAGAAGTGTCATCCTCGAAAACCTTTTGTCCTTATCTTCTGTCTTGTGCCACGTGACAAAATTGCAAGGCTTATGCCAGATTTGAAGTGGAGCTCCATTATTTAATCCTAAACCTAGCTGCCCCTTAACCACTATGTCCGAATGACGGTAATAACCATGGGCATGGCGATAATAACGGCCCACGTAACCAGATTTCTTCATTTGGAGAGAGGCTTTGGATAGCCTACAGTCCCACTCTCTCTCAAAGTGGCCAGGATGAAAGTCATGGGCTCATCATCCGATGCAGAACCGATGCGAGAGGGAGAATCAATATGGGAGAAGCGGGGATTGATAGCTTTATTTATAGGGGAGTGGACTCTAAGCTCCCTTATCCATTGTGAGAAGGTCAAACTCCTATTTGACGAGTTTGGACTTCTTGATTCTCATTGTAGGTGGGCGAGACTTCGCTCGCTTGAGGAGTCTTTTTGATTTCCACTAGTGTTGTAAAGGGAGTTGAGACCTCTCTAGGATAAAGGGTCTCAACTCCTTTCCCTCCGAGTATTGGTTGTAGATTAGTCTTAGGAGGCTCTTTGATTTTCAAATAACAGATAACATTATCTCCTTGCCTAAATCCACGAGTCAGTGGGACAGAGATGGCAATCTTCCCAATAGTAACTTTTTGTCTAGGACGCTAGCAGTCTTCCCAATGGTAACTTTTTGAATGGACAACCCTTGTCAAAGCTTTCCCATCGATGCTGCTAATTTTTCCCTCATCAAATAGTAATGTAAGCGTGTGTCAATTTTGGCGCGTTTCCATATTTCAATGGTTATTGAGTTAGGATGTATTCTAGTTAACGATTCGGGTTATAGATAATGTTTTTGACCTAATAAGATACATTAAGGATCATCAAAAAATTCAAATCTCTTTTATTTTGGTGTTAAAATGTGCATACATTCATTTTTTAAGGTCTGAATTGAAAAAAAAAAATCATGCCTTTGATTTATGTAATTGTTATGTAACGCCCGTTATACCCCATTTCCATTACTCCATTACCGTTACCATTACAACGGTCGTTACCATTTTTCAAAACTATGCTTTCGTCAAAAAGAATCTCAGAATCAACTAAGCTTCAAGAGACTTTGAGCAAGACTTTCTTGTCTCAACTAAATTGATTTGGCAGTGGTTCATTTACGTTTATTTCATAACTACGCCATGCCTCTAATTATGTCTTCTGATTCTTCTCTTTACATCTGCATGCATGTGACTGGCTCATGGGTAGGGGAATGTTAGAGCTTATTGCACATCAGAATAATAGTCTCTGCAAAATAGTATATGAGCCTTATCAAAATTATCATTCCTTTCAATTGGTTTTGAGTTAGATGTTTTTGTTAGAGCATCAATCCCAAAACCAATTTATAATGGGTGGAATGGCCCCTCAAGTATATAAACAAACCTTGTAGCCTTAATTATTTGAAGTAGGAGACAAGCTCTCCCTCACATGAGAGTTGAACTTGCACCTGGGGTCGATAACCAAGCATATCAAAAAATTCAATTAGGTAAGAGACTTGACTCAATGACCCCTCAAGCCCCCAACTCGGACACCATATTAAAGCATCCAACGCAAAATCATTTGACAATGGGAGGAACAGCCCCTCAACTATATAAACTAACCTTGATGGTCCTAATTATTCGATGTGTGATACAAGCTCTATTACCCATCAAAAACAAGTCTTCAATTCCTAATCTTCAAAAATATCAGCTTTTAACCCCATTATTCATCAACCAAAAAGAGGAAAATCAAAAAGTCTAATTTCTTTCATCCATTAGTCATCATCCAAGAACTTTGCTCATCTTTAGTCATACTTGAGGTATATTGATGAAGTCCATTAGAAGCTCAAGAACGAGTAAATTCAAAGACAACGAAAAAAATTGGAATTTATACTGTTTTCCAGAAAGTGGAATTTATACTGTTTTTGACTGCCTTGCAAACTTGATAACCATTATAATTTGATTTCAAGTTTAGTAGAGTCATAATAATGCTTACAACTAGTCAGTTTCTAGTTTTTTATCAAGTGTTTTTGTTTTAAAAAAAAATATTTTGGAAATTTCATCTTTTGTCAGAAACAGCTCGGTAGATGACCAATGGTTTTTATTCCTAAATGGGTAATGGGTTTAAGCTATGAGTGTAGCAAGTTTAAGCAGGTTTTTAATAGTTTAAGTCTGCTTTCAATTTAAAGTAAGGATTGCTTGAAGTCCATATGTTGCAATGCGATGGTTTGCAGAATTTTCAGAGCTTTTGAAGTTCGAATCAAGCAATATAAATCCTACGTGTGATGTCTATGGGGATTTTATGTAGGTGCAATGCCTAATTTCCTTTTTTTCTGCTCTTCTTTCTTTAATTTAAGCACTTAATGATGGCATATATTATCATTCAAAAAGATACAGACACCAGATATGTCAATCTCTGATCTTTGCTCTTAAAATGCCTATTGATAAAGCTTAGACAATTCCTCCTCTAGAAATTCAACAAGAAAGCATCAAAAGACCCGAATACAACCCCTGATACGGTTCAAGGTACCGTCACAATAACCACAATAGCCACTAAACACTTTTTCTTGCCTTACTTTGATCCTCAAACCCTTACCCTTTGCCCACACCTTTTGTAAGCCACAAAATCCATTTTAAGCCACAAAAATTAACAGATAGTAATCCCTAAAGGACCTTTTTGGCTACTACCCTGCATAAGGTTCCCCGTGTGTCCTAAATCAAATATCCCAGACCTGATCCCTAAGAATGACAGCCTTCAAATATTTACAGATCTACACAACTGTGTGTTATCATCTAGATCCTCAAATCAAAATTAGAGTGAGAATAGGACAAAATGATAGGTTTCAAATCTGTAAAAGTGACCAAAGGAGGCACATACAAATAGATAAATATGAGGTGGATCAAATTATCATCTTCAATGACAAGCAATGTCCTTGTATGACATCCATCTTTTGTCAAACCAACAAATTAGATACTCAATCATGCCAAAGATCAGGTTACAGAAATGATCACAGCCCGATCACAATTCAAATCTTAATTTCATTATAACTCTATACTATCACAAATGAATCTATTCATCAGATAGCCAGCTATTGCACATTAACTTGATATTTGACGTGCATGATAGTCAGAGTAGGGGTCTGAAATTAAATAATAGACTCAAAAAAATCTCCATAAAATTTTATTAAGGATCCTAATTATTCCAATTCTTATACCAGGTGTAATTTCTTAAACCTCATTCTTAAGTACATTGCTTGTATTCAAGAATGCTATTGCCCTAGGTATGCAGGGATTAGAATCAACAACTCATGAAGTATACTGCTCATGGACTTATATTTGAACGTTCATCAAAGGTTAACACACTATATAAATCAAAACTTATATTTCATGAGTTCATCAAAGAACTCATGAAGTATTATTTTATAGTTTCCCTTATAAAATAATACTGCTTTCAGAACATAATATGAAAAACAAAAGCCTCTTTTGCTACCAACACTCGTTCATTTTGCTTTTTCTTAAAGCAATCAAGTTAATGAAGTCAACAAAAGGTGAGGAGCAAGAAAATCCTAGTTCTCAGCCAAGAAAAGAATCGCACAAGGACCATCTTGTCTAAAAAACGAAGACATTAAAAAATAAAAACTGACTCAAGGTATCCCTTTACTAATGCCTCAAATGAGGGGAATAAAAGTAATTAACCCAAACCAATATGTTCAACTTCACCCTCCATGACCATGAAACAATACTTGAACAGTTGGTGTACTAGAACTTTTTCCAAAACAAAATTAATGATATTAAAACAAACTATACAGACTATATCTTATAAGCATTGTTAATTCAAATTTGCTGCTTGTTCAAAAGCGAAAGATTTTGAAATCAAAATACTGAAGAAATTACTTTTTCAAACCCTAATCCATTTCAACCAGCCAAAAAGCTTTCAAAATGCAAGATACTCACAAAATCGATATAAAGGCATGCAGAATGTAAAGCAACTGAAACCATATGTTCACTTACGTATGTTGATGGAGAAAGTATCGCACATAATCGGAAACAATTTGTGAATCTGCTGCCTGGAAAAGAAGAATGGTAAACAAATTACTCGCAAAACAGAAATCAAAATTGGAAAACAATGTTGTTTAAGTGATGGTTTCCTAGTTATTCCACAATCTTAAGGTTCATTCAGAGACTTCCACGTCTACTAGATTCCTGTTTCTTGTACATGTTAAATCAAGTCGAGTAAGACTGGAAAAGGATAGAATATTTAACAATTCATATTTCTTGATGCCGTCAAAAGTTTGGTGACCCTAGTTACAGTCCACTCTTAAAAGTGGTTAAAGCATGATCTGTAGTGTATTTAATTATGGTAAAGCGGTTAGAGGTGGTGACAGAGATAGAAGTAGTGAATCTGATACAGGTTCACAGGCGATGGTGGTGTACTAGAGGGCAGCATGGGCGGTTTGTCAGCTAGACATGGTGATGTGTTGGCGGTGTCATCTGGCAATCATGGGTAAAAACAATGGCAAACCAACTGTACAATGGTCAAGGTGGAGCATTTTAAGGAGGAGTACAACTCGGGAGAGCCAATGTGGTGCATAAAAGATGAAGCATGGTGGAGATGTAATTTCACAATGATAGATGTGATAGGAGGCAAAGTGGTGCAACTTTTTTCTGCCACAACGAAAGTGTCTTCTGGAGTGTGATTTATGCATACTTAAAACATTATATTAGGGTTTTATATTATGAGTAATGTTATTTGGACCTAAAAATCTGATCTAGTAGAACTATTGGATCAACACCAACTTCCGATGTTTGATGGGACCACCGTTAATCAAAATGTCATAATGAATTAGATCAGTAAATTAGGTCCCAATAGAATTACTCTTTATATTAGTGCAATAATAAGAAATAGAAAACAAAATCCAAAAAAGTACAAAGGGGTATATATTAGCACTTACTAGCATACTTTAATCCTTATATCTACAAACACTGGTATCCATTGGCACGTATGAACAAATTCAAGCTACATAACATAGTCAGCATCCCAATTGTGAAGCAAATGACATTTCATTTGACTAGCTTTCGTATAACTGTGCATCAAACTTATCTCTTTGACCACAATCAGTTATGTTATACAATTGCACCATACAATCAAATCACTTCCCTTAAGAAACTAAAAAGGCAAAGGACAGTGCCTGTAAACAAACAGGAGACAAAAGTAATTTTTCATTGTTCCACCTGCTGAATCTATGTTTCGTTGCTGACCGAAAGAAAAAAAAAGGGGACACATAGCCAACAAGCATTAACCGAAACACACAAGAACTTATTGGATTTGTAGTAATTCATTTTTGACTTCAAGTACACTTCTGAATCCGTTAACTCTCGTTAGTATTAGCATCACTTGCAACTCTTCACATATAACACCACTTGTACATTAATATAATCAAATGGGAAAAATAACCCAAAAAAGTCCATAACGTTTCGCCACCTTAGTTCCATAATATACCCAAAAGTAGTACAATAGTATGAAAACACTAAACCAATTAATAGCATGATACCCAAAAACACAAATAAGACAAATAATATCTAAATGAAAACATCGTAAAAGATCATCCAAATGATTCATATCATATATATGTAGAGAGAAAGAGAGAGAATACCGATCCAGAGCGACACAAGTAGACATTATCGGTCAACTGGGTGATCTTGTCCGATGCCCTATTCGCAACATACATTCCTATCAAAAAGAGACGATATAAAAACCTAAAAAATTTCCCTTTCCATTTTTCCAGTGTTTTCTCGGGAAACAAACAGATGGTATAACCTAACAGAGATTGGGATCTCAGGAGAAATAAAAATCTACATACCGGTGCTGGTACGGGAATCGGCGCCGAGGACGACGCCGCCGTTGTAAGTGACACCTATGATGGTGGTTCCCATCGAATGGGGTGAGTTCAGATCGCCAATGTTCACGTCCATTGTGTGTGTGTGTGCGTGTGTGTGCGTGCGTGCCCGTGCGAGAGAGAGTTTCGTCCGGCGAGAAGAGAGAGTTTCTTGTAGGCAAAGAATGGAGATCGCATCCGTCCCTTTGGTAAGCCGTAGGTGCATTATTTATCTAAACAAAATAGGCAAATTCTCACGAAAATTAGTTTGGATTTTTTTTCCTTTTTTTGCTGTGAAATTTGTAGAAATTCGAATTGAAAACAGATGTTGCCCAAGAAAAAAAAAAAAAAAAACACTGGAAAAATCACTAATTAAGGCGGCCTTTGCTAACATGATGTTTTTGTTTTTTTTTTTTATTTTATGGCAAAAAAAATAAAAAGAGGATTGGTGAATGTTATTGTTTTTTTTTACTACTCTATTTTGGAAATAAGGCCAAAATATAAAAACATTTAAAAGGATGTTTATAAAAACATCAACAACAAAAAAAACACGTGCGCGTCTTATCCCTCCCTTTAATGAGGTCTTTACCTTCAAATCTTTGTTAACACTAAAAAATTAGGTCATTTGGTTAGAAGTATAAAATGGTCATTTCCCTCTTTTACCTACATACTGCTCACCCAGCTTTTCTCTCTCATCTATGTCTCTTTGCAAAAAATCCGAAAAATTGTCTATCATCTTATTTGCGAAGACTCCAAAGATGGACTTTTGGTGGGCTTGGGTGGTGGTGAGTGATGCTTCGGCGGTTGGTGGTAGTGGGTTTTGCTTAGTTTGGTACTGGATGTTGGTGGTTTTTGGTTGCGGGTTATGTATCGATGGGGTTTTGGTGGTGGTTGGGTGGCTAGTGGTGGTGGACTTTGCTTGATTTCAGTGTTAGGTGGTTGGATGGTGGTTGATTTTGATGATGGGTGAAGTATTAGTGGGGTTTTGGTGGTGGTTGGATGGTTGGTGGTGGGTTTTGCTTAGATTGGTGTTGGGTGGCTGGGTAATGGGTTTTGCTTGGTTTTCAGTGGTGGTGAGTTTTGGGGATAAGGGGTGGGTTTCAGTGGTTGTGGTGCGTTTCGGGGTTTTAGGTTGTTGTGGCATTGTAGGGGTGGATTTCAGTGGTGGTGATGGGGGTTGGGTGGTGGTGTATTTTGGGGGTGGGCGATGGGTTTCACAAAGGGGTTTGTAGGGGTGGGTTTTCGGTGGTGGTGGTGGGAGTTTGATGGTGATAGGTGGTTGGGTGTATAGTGGTTTTGGGTGGTGAATTTTTAGTATAATACCAAACAAATTTTTTATTTTTGTTTTATAATTTTTTAAATATAAATAACTACCAAACATATTTTATATTTTTAATTTTTATCAAAAAGAAAACAAAAATTAGTTTTATTTTTATTTTTATAAAAAAAACACAAAAACGAAAATGTTACAAAATACATCCTAAGTTTTATCATATTATCTAAGGACAATTAAGTCTTTTTTAATAATTTATTTTTTTAATTTTATTGATGTCTAAGGGACGGGTTAGTCCACGAAATATGTTATTCAGTTTGAAATCTAATAAACCTGATAATTGGTTCATTTGAGTTCGAGTCCAATATCATTCAAGAGAGGACTTGGTCTGCCCCCAAGCTATTACCTGTCTCAAAACTCGGCCCATTAGCCCACTCGCAAAAAATTGTTAAAATCCGGTCCAAGAATCCATTCGCCCGTCCACTTTGTTTGAAAAAAAAATTGACCATTGAAAATTGAGGGGCATATTCCTCTCAAAAATATATATAATTTAAATACTAAGTTAAGTAATATATAGGAAATTATTCATTATTTACATTTTGTCCATATTGACTCCACTTTTAATTCAAAATTTTAATTTATAAAAATACTAAGTTCAAAATTTTTACATGAAGATTTATATATAAAAAAAGTGAGTGACGGGTCAGGTCGGGTTACGGGTAGTCTCCCCCTATTCAAAGCCCGACCCGACCTGCCCAAGAACTCACCTAGGTAAGGGCTTGGGTCTACCCTACCCAGGCCCAAAATTTCATGGGCCTAGCCTGGTCTAGCCCATAGACACCACTATAAATCAACTCCATCAATAATATATTTTGTTTCAATTTTATCATTCCCATCAACACAACAATTATATTTTTATCAATAATATTTGTTATTAGTGTCTAAAAACAAATTTTTTTCTAATTAATGCATACCCAAAACACGTAATTAAAGACTTATGGAAATGATAAATCATACAACTCTATCTTTTTTTATATTTTACTTTTTTAAGTATATGCTTTTCAACTCACCTAACTATTAAATCTCAACCATAAAGATATATAAATATAGATTTTGAAAATAAAAACTAATATTTGAATACAATCATCGAGAAAAGTTCATCTACTTATATTATTTTTTTAATTTTCTTTCTAAATTTTGAATTAATTAGAAAATAATTACTCTCTTATGGCATTAAAAAAAAATTCAAGCATCTGAAGCTACAACATTGTATTTAAAAGAGAAAATAAAAATATTTTTGTATATTATGACTTTTATACTATGTATGATTCACTTATATTTGAACTCTTATTTGTCAATATGATGTATGTGTTTAATAATTAAAAGTATAACTTACTTGGATTATAATTTTAGATACAAAAATCATATTCTAATAAATAAAATCAAATATAAAATTATAAACATAAATGTAATTCGTGAGTTCGTGGAGGATAAATTTGGAACAAAATACACTATTAATGGAGTTTAGGACTTGTTGGTAATCAATTATCAAAAGTGTGACTTAATTGTTCTAAAGTAAATATGATAAGACTTAATGATTATTTTAGAAAAAAAGTAGGTCTTATTGATAATTTTTCCAAAAGAAAAAGTTAAGTCATAAATGTCACACCCTTAGTCACATAATTGGTGTGAATAAGTCATAAATGGACCACACATGCTCCATTGCCCGGAATTCGAATTCATGAATTAAGAGCAAATTCGGTATAAATTCGTGATTTTACTTCACTAAATTCATAAACTCAAAATTTTAAACTCTTTTCTAAGTAAAAAGCCCAAAATTTTACACTGGGTCAGTCCATATATGTAAAAGGTTGCCTTCCTTTTGCTTTCCGGCTAACGCCCAAGTATAGCAGTTGTGACAATGAAGAACCCTTTCACCTTATAGGCATGAGTTGCCTTCACCTTCTCATGCCTACTCAATGTGGGATGTT